CCCCGGCTCCGGGGGCACCCGCCCCTCAGGGCTATGTGCCGGGCCCTGCCACGTGCAGGCCGTCCCGCTGCTACGAGCGGGGACAAGGCCGCACCGGGGCGGGGGGTCCGAGCCCCGGCCGGGCCTCAGCCTCTGAAACCCTCACGGCGAGCTCACCTCCTGTCTGTCCTCTCCTGCAGGCTCCGAAGCTGGCCGAGACCTACTGCGTCTGCCACCTGGCAACCGGGGACATGCTGCGGGCCATGGTGGCCTCCGGGTCCGAGCTGGGCAAGCGGCTCAAAGAGACGATGGATGCTGGGAAGCTGGTGGGTAGCAGGGAGATGTGCTGGGAGGGGAGATGGTCTGGCAGCACCTGCAATGAGAGCGGTCAAAATCCCCCTCTTAATTCTAAGCCTTGGTGACAAAACCCAATCAGTGGAGGAAAGGCAGATTGTAGGGTGAAGGCAGGGGTGGGGGTTCACCTTTTCAGTACCCCGCAGGAGAAACATCCTATAAAAATATCATTGCTCTTCAAAATTGCTCCTTGCTTACCGGGAGCCTCTCTGTCCCTGGGCTGGTTCTTTCCGCCACGCTGCTTTTATCTTTGTGGGGTGCAGTCTGGCTCCTGAGTGCTGTCCGAGGTGAACGCTTATCCCTGGAGCTGCAGGATGTTACAGCCATGCTTTGCAGCTCCTGTGTCTCTTCACGTGATGCCTGGACCCCTGTGGGGTGGAAGAGTTTGTTCAGAGGGTTCATCTACGTCCCAGATCTTACGTAAATGCCATTTGCTTGTAACTGTAAGGTGAAAATAGACTTGGGGGTGTTGCTGTGGTAGTCACAGAGGGTGGTGCGTGATGCTGTGTGAAGGAGAAGCTCTGAATGCCCAAGAGACAAGAGTTAGGATCTCTGACACATTCATTTTCTGAGGATCTAATTATCTTGCCGAAATGATTGAAATGTCTTGGGCAAACTTAAAGGACAGCAAATTGCAGCCGCTTGCCCCAAAGGTAAGCGGTGTGGGACAGATCTTGGGCATCGCTGCGGGCTGTCACGGGCTCGTAACACCCCATGGAGAATCTGCGGGCCCCGGGTGGGAAGAGCGATGTGGCTTATCTCCAGCTTTCGCTCAAAGCTTGCGTTGCAACACCAAGCCTGCAATAGCCCAGCTGGTTATGAAAGATAGGGACGTTATCAGGCAAGGCTGGTGGTATCTGCCACGTGTGTGTGGCAGCCGGCACCGGGCTGCTCTGCGGGTATATCCTTGCAGCGTACTCTGGCTCTGGAGATAACTCAGCTGGGAGCACAGCAGCGTTTGGAGCCTGGGATGGGGTTTTGTGCTCGATTACAAAGCAGGACCCGTTTCTCTGAAAGGGGTAATCAGGAAGGCACAGAAGTGACTTGTTGCTTCACCCAAACTGCCTCCCGCCTGTACGCTTCCCGCTCCAGGGCTCTTGTTTACGTGTGCTGTGACAGTCTGGTCCCCAATCCTGCTGGGTCCCAGCTGCGTGCGCTGGAGAAACCAGTGCTGCTGAGGAGAGCTACCCTCGAATAAACAGCTATTGTTGGGGCTGCAGCATCTGGTAGTGATTTCCAAGTGCTGCAGTGTAGAAAAGGCACTAATCCCAGTGGTATGCCGAGATCGTGATACGGGAAAAACTATCCAGCAAGGCCAGAGCTTGGGCATTTATGTTCACGCAAGGTTTACCAGAGTCAATGAGGAACTCACCTGCTTTGCCCTTCCTGGCCAGGCCTGCCTACTGAGGGGGATGAAGGTACAAAGTAACAGGAAATAAAGGTTATGTCGATATTTTGTATTGTGAATTGGTTTAAAAAAAAAAGTAACCTAGAGAGTTTGTCTTCAAGCTGATGGTCTCCCTTGAAATACAGCAACCTTTGTAACAGTGCAGTTACGGTGCTGGTCCGAGTCTCTGCGCAGGCTGGAGTGTCCCTGGTGTGAAATGTCTCATTAGCCACATCTTCGCGTTGACGCCCATGGCATGGAGTGCCTCCCTGGCGTGGGCAGGTCTGAACATGCAGCTTTTGCCTGGCTAACAACAGTGCCCTGCGCTGTGGCTGCTGCTGCCTCTGGGACCAGGGACGGCTGTAAAAAGGGTCTGGTGCAGCCTGGGCACTGGCACAAGTACAGCAGCTGTGTGTAAAATCGGGCTGTCCCTCCTGACCTGTCTCTCCTCTCTGCAGGTGAGCGATGAGATGGTGGTGGAGCTGATTGAGAACAACCTCGACTCCCCTCCCTGTAAGAATGGCTTCCTCCTGGATGGCTTCCCACGCACGGTGAAGCAGGCCGAAATGGTACGTGAGGTCCTGTTTGGGGGCTGCTCTGGCATCCCCTCCTTCCCTGGAGCCAGTGGCTGTGGCTCTGGCCCTCTGAGCTGAGTCTTTTCTGTTGCAGCTGGATGAGCTCCTGGAGAAGAGGCGAGAGAAGCTGGACTCTGTCATTGAGTTCAGCATCCCTGACTCCTTGCTCATCCGGAGAATCACTGGACGGTAATTCTTCTCTGCCAAATGCTCAGTGCCTGGGGTGGGATTTTCCAGTTTAGGGGAGAGCATCCTCATTTTGGATCCTTGTGTCATTCTCACAGTGTTTAGGGCTAGCTGTGGTGCTGGTCTGTATTAGATTTCTGCTCTTGTTTGAGCCTTCCTGCCCTGATCAACGGGCCAGCCGTGAACAGAGCCCCTTCGTTGCCCTATAAATAAAGGTTGCTGATATGAATCAGTGTCCTTGGTGACCCAGCTCAGCCTTTAAGCCTGGTGTAGTATAAACTAAAAATCCCTTCTCCATCTCCTAACGCAGCTGCTTTTTTCAAGCGCCTAAAGAGGCCCTCGGTACAGAAATAGCTAGAAGAGATTTTTCTTAATAGAGAGGCTAATCGGGTTGCTATTGCAGATGTTTCTGTGCTGATGAGTGGCAGGTTCAGGAGACCTTGTCCTGGCACTGGGCTACTGCTGACACTTGCTTTCTGTTTTAGGCTGATTCACCCGGCAAGTGGCCGCTCTTATCACGAGGAGTTCAGACCCCCAAAAGAGCACATGAAGGACGATGTATGTGAGCTCCCAAGGCTGCAACTTACGTTGCTTTGGGTTTAGCTGATGCTTTGCAACATCCCTGGAAAAAACTAATTTCTTTCCTTCTCTTGTACCTTCTGTCCTGGCTTTCTGGGGAACATGGGGAACTGCCTGGGCAGCCTGAGCTGACGGCACTGCGGGGAGCGAGGCCTGGAGGGATTAGTGAAGGGCATGGCCATTCTGCAGAGCTGGCCCAGGCTCTGCCAGCCTCAGAAGTGTTGGACTCTGTCCATAGCTGAAGTTGCGGTGGGTTGTAGCTGGTTTCCCTCCTGGGGAGCAACTGTAGCTGGTGTCTGCTCTTGAGGTTCCTTGAGTTCCTTTTAGCAAGTAGAGTGGGGGGTGGGGGAAAGACCACAATGCTGTATCCTTCTCGCTCCAGTAACTGCTCTGGGACTTGTTTCAGCTGCCCTGGGTTCACCCCGCGCTGTGGACCCGGGGATTGCCTCTGCAGCTCCACATTGTAGCCTGTCTTTGAGGAGGGTAGCAGGGGTTATCATGGCTGCGGAGAGAAGGGGGAAACATGCCAGGCTACAGCTAGCTGGAGACTCTCCCCTTGTTTCTCCCAGGTCACTGGAGAGCCCCTGATCCGCCGTTCGGACGATAACGAAACAGCCTTGAAAACCCGCCTGAAGGCCTATCACACACAGACCTCTCCCCTCGTCTCCTACTACAGCAAGCGAGGGATCCATACGGCGGTGGATGCCTCCCAGTCTCCTGACGTGGTGTTTGCTAGCATCCTGGCAGCCTTCTCGAGAGCAACATGTAAAGACCTGGTTATGTTCATTTAGGGCTCTTGTCCCAGGACGGAGCTCTCACTTTTCTCTCTCTCTGTCTGTCCCTCTCTGTCTCTGTCTCTCTGGGGCCAGGGCGGGTGAAGAACTAAGCAGAGTAGAAGAGGAGGGGAGAAGACAATGCAGCCCAAGGCAGGGCTGTGCTAATTCTCTATTAAACAAGCTGTTAACGGTCTCTATCTCCGTATATGTGAACGTCAGTCTGTCTGCGGATGCTGGAGATTTGGCCCCTAGAGGTCGCAACAAGCCCAAGCACCAGTTGCCAGAAACGGGGGTTTGTACCCCTTTGGTCAAAAGGCTTTTGTTTTCATTCTAGAGCTGTGGCTCCCTGGAAGGAGCTGTACTTTCAGCTCCTGGCTGCTCCACAGGGGACTAGCAGAAGGTTGGAGAGCAGGACTGAGCAGCAGGGGGAAGGACCTTCACAGGGTGCCGGATAGGTGAAGCGCTCTGTTGGCTGCAGGAAGTGAAAAGCGGGGTTGCCTGTGGGAAGGATGCAAAAGGCTGTGTCTGTGTGGCCCAGGGGAGCAGCCGTGGGAGGGACAGCTTGGCTGCATGCGAGTGCAGCCTGCTGCTGCTGCTTGGGGATGGGTGAGAACTTGTTCTTGTCGTATGTGTTTTTATTCTCTGTGGGATGGCAGGTGACCTGAGTGCATAGCTTGTCTTCCTCCTGTTCTGATGGGGCTGGTGGGGCAGAAAGAGGGTGGCTGAGGGCTGGGAGAATCGTAGAATTGTTTAGGTTGGAAAAGACCTTTAAGATCATCAAGTCCAACCGTTAACCTAACACTGCCATCGCACCACTAAATCATGTCCCTAAGCAGGGAGGTTTCAGCCTCTCCTTGTTTGTAGCCCCAATATAGCAAATATTAGTGAGATGCTTTTTGCTTTTTTTTTTTTTTTAACAACGTGAAGTTTCTGGTCAGAGTCTTGACAGTCACTATGTGTGGCAATTTGGGATCTCCTGAGGAGAAGAAAAGGACTTGGGTTTTACCTCTTCACTCTTGCGTGAAGATGTGTTGAGCTTCTTCTGATCCCAAATTCTAAATAAAGCCTTATTGCAAAACACATTATTTTTCAAGGCCTGAGAGACAGCATTATTAACCACTGGCTTAATGTGCCCTTGAGCCAGTGACCTTCGTTACGAGATCATGGAAATGTACTTGTTTCTTAAGCAAATCAAACAGCCCCATCAGCTCTCCCTTTGAGGACATAATGTGTGGTGTTATTAGTGCCCTGGCTTCTCCTCAGGGCCATTATGCTGCTCTGTGGTGATCCTGCAAGGCTGGCGATGCCCTTTGCCCATGCAGGATTTCAGCCCTTCCTAGAGGACCCTGCTGTAAATGCAGATTGGCCCAGATGAAACTTTGTCCTTTGGCTTCCTGTGTATATTTGCTGATTTAGTGTTATTGAGCACCCTCCTCCTTCGAGGAGATGGCCTGTCTCCCTCCTGTGCACTGAGCTGCTGTGGGCTGTGCATCCAGAGCAGATGCCTAATCCTCAGGAATCCTTTGCTCTTTTTCTGGATAATTCCTCTTTTGTCTGAAAATCACCCTCTGTCCTTGTACATTCTTTCCAGGGAAACACCTCTTCCCTTCCAGTAAACTGGAAATGACAGCAGGAACTGAAAGCAGTTGACTTGTTGCTCTTGAAAGCACGTGACTGCAGGGAGAGAGGGTTTGAAAGTAAACGGTGCCTGCAGTCCCCTGAGATCCTCCAGATGGCCGTTGCCTTGTTGATCGTCTCTGGCTTTCCTGTGAAAGGGCAGCTCCGGCGCATGGTGTGGGCATGCTGGGAGGTCGAGATAGCATTTAGCGTAGGACTGGTGTGCTCCAGGGTAGCAGAGAGGAAAGTGTGTTAGAGCTGCCCTAGCATCTTGATGACTGTAAAGAAATTTTGAATACATGCAGCTTTATCTTGGCATCTTGAGAGTCCAGGAGGAGAGCTGCAGCCCCCTACATGCTGCTGTAATGGCAGGAGGCGTTCCTGGCCAGTTGGTATTCCTGGACTTGGTCAAGGTTTTACTCCACAGCAAGAACAATGTGTTCTTCCACTCTCCGTTCCTTTTCCCCTTTGTGCTCGCTTTGCATCCAGCTCGCCAGCCTTTTTCTGCCATAAACCATAATTAATTTTGTTTTTTTTTCCCTAAACCTATTTTTTCTTTGTTCCCATTTATTCCAGCTGAGTGACTCCACGAACCAGATGAGAGACCACCAAACGCTGCACGCTCTGCTACGTCACCCATTGCAGCCCTCCCCTGGGTGCAGGGGAGGCAGGGAGGGCAGCTGGGAGGGGGTTACGATTGATGGGAGGGGAATAAGGAGGTGGTAGACAAGGGTCTTGGGGGCTGATTTGGCTGGTTTTTGTTTGGATTTCTTATTCAGCAGAATCATTGTGAAGAGGAGATGGCCTTCTCCTTAGAAATCACAGTTTGGGGAGGCAAAACAATTGTACAGAATGAAACATCTCTGCCAGTGATCAGACGCAGGTCCTTGACCTGTGAGGAGGGTAGGGCTAGGTGCTGTTCCAGGCTTCTCCAGGACTTTCAGGGTTTGTCTCATGGGTTCTTGGTACTCTGAGGCCACTGCAAGGTTTGCTGTGATTTTTCTAAAGTCGCTTCCTGTCAGCAAGGACCAAAATGAACAAATGACTCATTTCTGAAATGGAAAGGGAAAAAGATGCCGTGGTCTTTTCCTGGAAGTTTTGTTTTTCTTGTTCTGCTGCATTCCTAAACCTCAAGAGAGACTTCTCAAGGTTTCTCTGCTGCTGAACAGAGGGGCTGTGGCTCTAGTCCAAGCCTGCCTTACTTGGTAATGGGGTGGCTTTTCTGTGATCTTGACCAAGCTGGAATTCACACAATTCTGAAGAAATGCAAAAGAGACTTTAATTGACTGCAAAAATAACACTTAATTGGGGTTTTTTTGCATTTCTTTTTAGATCAAATGGTGCCTTGTCTAACCTCTGAATCAATAATAAAATAACCCCTTTACATTTTGTATCTGTTGCTGTGTCCTCTTTGACCTGCAGACAGTGTGGAAGACAAGAGGAGGCAGATGACAGCGCAGCCAACTAACAATCGAGCTGGGTGGATCCTTGGGCCTGATCCTATCTCAAGGATGTTGTTCTGTGCAGTTGAAAATGTGGCTTGTAATTCCTTTTCTCTCTCTTCCTTGCTGAGTGTGTTCCAATGCTTTATATCACCATAGCAATGGTGTCTTGCTGCTTTTGTCTCTCTCCTGTTTCTTCATGCATGATGCTGAAAGCTCTGAGCCCCTGTGTATCCTGACCCTTCCTGGTCAGAGCTCCTTTCAGGTGTTTTTAACTGATGTCATTCCTAGCCTTTCCCCCCCTCCCTTCACATCGCTGGTGTGCAGAGGAGCTGATGATATTTCCCTCTCTCCTCCTGCAGTATCTGGAAGCCACATACTGTGTTTTTTGTTTCTGTTCATTTGCTTTCTGCCTTTCATACCGTGTTGCATCCTTCCCTTCTCTAGTTATGCAGGGCAAAATCTCTTAATGAAAGAAACGAGAGCATTTCCTGGCCTCCCTTTACCCTGCCTCCACAGGGACCCTGACCCTGGCTCTCTGAGGTAGCTCAGAGGAAGGCTGTTCTTGACATGCTGATGGAGGGTCATCATTTTTCTGCAATGCCCTTGGTACCCCCCCTTGCAGTCCTGCTTGTGTTCAGGGCTTTGGTTTAGGCACTGTGGACAGGCACCAGAAAGAGTCAGGCTGCCTATGCCCATTTCCTCCAGAAATGACTGGTTTCTTCAGCATAATTGGGTTCTCTTGCTCCTCCACCATTCAGTCTCTTTGTCCTCTGGTGTTTTTATTGCCTCTCTACCTCCGATTAGCATTCTCTCTCCTCTGAAGTCAAGCTTGTGCCTCTCTGGCATTTGTGGTGTTCTTCCCTTGTTTCTTTTCATTATGGATGTTAAACTACAGTCTTCCTCGTTTGGGATTGTGTCCTCTACTACTTGCCTGCTGTTTTAAAAACCTGTTCTGCCTGCTCCTCCTGGCTTTCTAGTACGTGGGATGGAGAAGCCTTGGCTTCTCTGAGCCGGGCTGCTTCTCTTTGGTCCTTACCTAAGTGTGGAGGGTGAAATGAGTTGTTTGGGTGCTGTGGGAAAGGCTGCTGTGGGGAGGCTGTTCAGCTCAAGCCTGTGTCCTCTGTAGTTGGATCTGTTCTGTGACCTGTCTCTGTCACGTTGACCTTGAATGTTTTCCACAGCATGCGATGCTCTGCAGGTGCTGTAAATTCCTTCTGTTCAACGATTTCACTCCAGCAAGCTGCTTATCAGGCACTCTTTTTAAAAACTCTGTTCATCTCTCATACACACAATTATTCAGCAACTATAAAAGGGCAGAATTCCTATTTATAGCGCAAGGACCAGCATCAAATAGGACACTGAATTCTCACTGATAGAGGAAGTGACCTGTTCTCTAATGCAGCAATATTTCTGCTGAAAAGAAACAGCATCTTGGATGGGGGGAGGGATGAAAAGCCCTGGGCCATCTCTTTCCATTAAAAATGTGCTGCCGTCCTAAAAATACAGTATCTGCCCTTCTCCCTTCCTGATGAAACCATCTGCGAAAGAGAGATTGCAGAAAAACCTTTCACTGCGGATTTGTGGTTAGTAATAATGAGTCCACTGACTCCTGGTGGTCTGGTTTGGAGCTGGTCTTGGGTTTCTGATTGATACCTGATCTCTGACCTTGACCTGGGAGTCGGGAGAAGTCACTACAGGGTGCCTGCTGCGGGCAAGTGGCACAAATCCCTTGTCTGTAGAGAGTTGATACGGTCATGGTACACATGTGCACTGAAAACAGAAGGAGCACATGGGGCTGAGGAACAAAGAACTGGCTGAGAGCAATGAATGGAAAGGGGTGGAAATGTGGGAAGGGCATTGGGGATGGGGGTGATAACTGCTGTAGTGAAGGTGGGTGCCTGTTTGGTCTAAGCCTGCTTCCCATGACTGCCTCTGCTCTCCCTTCCAGGTATGTTGATTCATGGCTTCCCCCAAGGCCATCACTGGCCCTTGCCGCTGCTGTTCCCTGTTGTCACCCCATCCTTCCCATGGTCTCCAGGCTCTTTAGGAAGAGCTGCAGTGGGTGATACCAAGCGAGGCCCTGGGAGGTGGAGGACCAGAGGATGGGATTCCCCCTCCTGTCGCTGTGGCAACCGTTGGGAAGGGAAGCAGCAGTGGGGTGTGATGGGCGGCTGCGTGGAGTGGAGGGGTGTGATGGGGAGGCTGCGGAGGCAGGGCTGCGCTGACATCACGCCGGGGAGGTGGCGCAGAGGGAAGGGGAGTGGGAAAGGGAGAGCCAGGGAGACTGCGGAGGGAAGAGACCTGCATCGGGAGTGGGCTCCGGGGCGAGGTAAGAGACATTCCGGGGGCAGTGGGTCAGGGTGGGCTCCACGAGCAGCTGCGGGATCAGAGCCTGCCTCGGCATCTTTCTGGCTAATGTGCTGATGTGGGATGCCTCTCAGGCAGGAGCGATATCATACAATGCCTTAACGGCCTGGCACAGCAGGGCTTGGTTCTTGGACAGCAAGAACGGGTCAGAGCCTGCCTGGCTGGTGCAGAAGCTGCAAATGTGTCCGTCCTCCCCCCCCCCCTAGAATACCAGTGTGTCTCACTGATGCTGTGCTGGGAAGAGATGGGCTAAAGGGACTGGGGAGCAACCCTGATCCCTCTCTAGAGAAGGGGACCAGAGTTCCCTCTTGGGATTAGAGCACGAATCATTGATGAAATGAATTGAAGTTTGGAGACCTGGTCCCCCTGAGCTGCATCTAGCTACCAGGAGGCTGTAAGCAGAGCTGGTGCACTGGGACCAAGCCCAGCAGCGAGCATTTGGGGTAGGAATCCTAAACTACACATCTTCAGCAGCCTCAGCACTTACCCTGCCTGTGCAGGAAGCGGTAGTTCTGGGGAAGGCAGCCAGGTGCACAATTACTGCTGGGAGCTCCCTGGATGTGGATCCTGGGGATCTTGCAGACCTGGAAGGCAAAAATAACAAAGTCCTTGAAACCGCTCTGGATGTCGTATGGCCTTTTAGCGTAACGGTTGCATAACGGGATCCGATCTGCTAGCAGAGCGAACAAGGGGTGACGGTCACCTCTGTGCCCTGCAGCATCCCAGCGGTACCTATGTGCGGTGCTGGCCCACAGCACTGGGGTGAATTTCATCTCTCTTCCTAATCCAAAAGCTGGGCTCGTTCAACGCTTGAAAAAGCTGGTGGGTTTACAGCTCCAATTCCACAGTAGGGGGGTGTATGGACTCTACACCCACACACAGGCTGGGCAGCAGTGCCCTGCAGTACGTTAGCAAACTGGGGAGTAAGTTCATTAGCACCCACTCAATCTGTGCTAACATCTTTTGCTCATTGGGATCCTCAGTGTGTATCTGACTGAGGAAAGTACCTCTGGGGTCAGGAGCCCATTGCTGGTAACTAACCCCTGTTGGTGTCAGAAACCAGTACTAGGGTGGAAATGGAAGCAGCACAAAGTAGCAGCTCAGTAGGGATGCAGAAACCTTGTTTGAAATCCATGAGCAGGGAGAGGCCAGTGCTACTATTGCAACTGTTTTGTTGAAGTGACTTTCACAGGTCTCCCATGTTTCGCTGGGGGCAGCAGTGGGGCTGTGGAGATGTGTGGCTAGGAATGCTTAAATATACATGAGAGAACAGAATTGCAATAAGGAGCATAAATATGCTTTAATTAGGGAAGGCTATTGCTGTGAGATGCACGATCCTCCCCCATGAAGGCACAGATGCTGGGACTACAGGGAGCATTTGGGAGTGGCCCGGGGTGGCTCCACTGCTGCGTATTTTATGGTAATTCTGTGAACAGCAACAGCTTGTGCTGCTGTGTGGGACTTCTGTGGGAGAAACGGGACAGAGGCCCCACGCTTGGAGGCTTTTAGGAGCCGGCTGTGGTGGTGTCACCCAGGTGGCTGTATGGCCAGCTGCGTTTTGTGCCTCTGACGTGGGTGGGCAGGGGAGGAGCAGACCTGCTAGCAGCTCTCTGTGCTGGCCCTCAGCGCTGCACAGGGCAGCTGTGGTGGGAGGCAGCCAGCTCTGGATGGGCCCAGACATTCCCAAATGAGCCCTTACCAGGCTTGAACCAGGCTCCCAGGGGCAGTTTTGGGAAGGGCACAGGGAGGAGTTAACACTGGTTTTTTGCAGCTTCAGCCCCTGAGGTTGCAGTTCTGCATGGCCGGCAGCTAATGCAGCTAGGTCTGCTTCTAAGTCATGTTTCAACTTGATTTTTTTTAAGGTTACTCAAAATTTAGTGGGGGAGTGGCAGCAGGACCTCCTACAAGCAGAAAGGCCAGGTCAACCCTCCTAGTCCTTGACCTTCTCCACCGCTCAGCTGGCTCTCCTTGCTGTTCCCCCTATACTTGCCTACACTGCAAGAGGGATGATCATGTGAATATTACACAGCCTGGCATCTGCACATCAGCTGAAGCAGCTGAGTCTCTGACGTGTTCCTAGTGCCTTCACACAATCCTGTTCCACAGCCATGCTGTATTACCTGTGCATTTGTTCCCTACCATAGGCTATGACTGCTAGATATACCTGCAATACAGAAATACAGTCAATGGGAGCTTGTGCTCTGCTGGGTGTTGGTACCCAGCCTGCAACACAAGCCCTCCTGGGAAAAGCAGGCGGTGGACCTGCAAGCCTCTGCAGAGGCGTGGGGCACCGGGAGGAGCTGCCCTTGTGCCAGCGTCCAGAGAGGGCCCTGGGAGCTGAGCCAGGTCTTGTGAGACATTTTAATCCTTCCTATTTCACAGTCTATCTTGGCCACGACTCCACTGCAGTAAATGTTTTCCAGTCCCTTTGGCAGGGGTGTGCACAGGCACTCACAGGCGCCTACCTTGTGTTTGGTTTTGCTCCTTATCTGGTACCACTGGGAGCAGGCAGCGCAGCAGCTGAGTCAAGGAGAGCAGGTTGGTGTGTTCCCACTGCTGCCTGGGCCACCCTGGAGTCCCCTCTATCCTCTCCCTAAACCCAGCCTGAAATTTTTTTCTGCTGAGGTAGCTGTTTAATAGCTGAGGTTACTTGAGTAATCAATAGTTCTCTGGCTTCCAATGGAAATATTACCCCTTCAGCCAAATCAGCATTTCTATCTTTGTTATAAACCTGGCCTTAACTCTCAGCTCTGGGGGGATCTAGGTGCATTCCCAACCTACCTGTGCAGAACCCCGCTCCTTTCCTTTTCTTTCCTCCTGCCAGTGTCACTTTTTCCCTCTGAGGTTAAGCAAGAAGGGATGGTAGCACACGGAAAAATTGCTGGAGCTGTTTGACTCGCTTCGGTTTCAGCCTCTCTCTTGGCTCTGCCCCAACAGCTCATTCTCTATGCTTGCTTCTCTAAGGAGGGCGGTGAGGATGGATTCAATGGGATCCTCACGGCCAAGGGTATTGCTGGTATAGATCCCAGTCCATGGGCTCCAGGAGAACTTGGCTCAGCTGCTGCCAGCAGAAGAAAAACTGTTCCCGTCACACAGCAGGACTTGTATCCCAGAGACCCAGGGCTGGAAGACAAGGTGCCCATAGAAAGGCTCCATGGCTGCAAACAAATTTTTCTTGCAAACAGGCGAAGGCACCGACTCCCTGGAGCTGGATTTCCCCTGATTCCATCCCAGGCAGCCAAAGGCTGGGCTGTGGCTCTGGGCTGCAGTTCTGACTGAAGGAGGCCACAGGATTTGTTCTGCTGCTGGGGCAGTTGAAACACCCTCGCTGTGCATTGTTAGCATCTCTGCACATCTCTGTTATTTCCAAACCAGAAAAGGTCACAGAGACCCAAGAGAAACCCACTTCCCTCCTTCACTGGAACTCCTCTTTCTGCCTCACACATGCTTTTGTTGCCATCTCTTGCTTGCCAAATGCAGGAACAAACACTGGGGTTTGGCAGGGCTCAAAGTCTTGGCTTGTTGGATGGGAAAGAGGCATTCTTGGTCCTCAGCCCGGGGACAGGGCTCTGCTCCATGTCCACTGCCAGGTTCTCCAGCTGCAATTTTGGTGCTCATCCCACGCTGAGAGCACTGTTCTTACGTGTCTGGGGATGGGCAGCACCCCTGGGTGCTGGGCTGTGAATCCACAGAAGGAGGGTGGGAATAGCTGGAACAGGACGCAGAGCTACGTGAACCCCAGCATGTTGCTGTGGCTGAGCTGCACGTACAGTGGGAAGTGCAGGAGTCAGCGATGACTTGAGAGGCTTTTCCCCAAATATGCGTGACAGCAGGGGGGCAGGGAAAGGCAGAGGGAGGCCATGTAAAGTCAGGCTGTCTCTGCTTTGTTTAAATAGGGCTGTTATTGCCAGCAGTTGCCCCCTGAGAGACTGCAGGGCTTATGCTGGGGAGGGATCCTGTAACTCGGAGACAGCTGGGAGGCACTTGGCAGCCACTGCTGCTGTTTCAGTGGCAGGCACTGGACTTTTCCTGGTGCTCAGGGCAACTGGGATGACAGCCTGGATCAGAGAGGGCAGGGCTGGGCAGATGAGAGACAGTCATAGCTGCTACCTCCCTGTTAGAAGGATGCTATGGAGCAACAGCAGGGCCTGATTTCAGAGAAGCATTTGAGGTCTCGGTGCATGCCGATTGCCCCAAGAAACCTCTTACTCAATTTTCTGCTGCACACAGCACAGCCTCCTCAGACAGCACAGGGGCTAGTTTGCTTAAACACTGGCTAAGGCAACCCACAGATGGCATCAGCCCCAGAGAGGGAAGAAGGTTTCTCACGGTGGTGGGGTGAGGGAGAGGAAGGAGGGAGAAAAGAAATTTCCTGGCTGTGGTAAAGGTGGGGTCTGCTTGAAGAGATGGTAGAAAGAATGGGCCTGTGGTCATGGCATCAGGCTGCGGGACAGAAGGGGTGGGTCAGCGGCAAACCCAGCAGAACAAGGCCCATTTACCTTTCCATGCTGGCCCAGGAATGAAGGACGCACCAAACTGCAGCTCCCCTCTCCCCTTGCCCACCTTGTTCTGCTGCAGAGAGAACTGGGGGAGCAGCTCTGGACTGAACCAGACTGAGGACAGTGGTTTGGCAACCAAGGTCAGGCTGGGGAAATATCTTGTCTGAGACAAGGGAACCCTGATCAAGCTGATTTTCCAAGAGAGATGCTCATACATTTCCCACCTGGTTAGTGCTGGCTCAGCCCTCTGGAAAATGACACACGTTTTCCTCGCTGCGGGGCCAGAGGGCTGTGCCGGGAGCACTCTGCGGCTCTCCCATCCTGGCTGCAGATGGGAGGTGCTGCTGGCGGGGTCCAGAATCACTCTTCTTTCCCCTTTTGATAGCTGTTGCTGGTTATGAAAATGGGAATGTTCCCCAGCCAGTTCTCAGCATGAACGGCCCTTTCCAGGGCTGACCGCATGGGCTGTTTCTTCCTCTTCCCACCTCCTGACAGTAGTCACAGATTTGGGTACAGTTTAGTCTTGGTAAAGCACTGCCCTTCCCTGCTCCTTTTCGTCATGCAGCATACAGGAGAGGCTCGTGGCTGTGGCCTGTGAAGGGGGGATGTTTGTTCCTTGGCCTCAGATCAGTACAATTATTGAGTCAATTCTCTTCCCAAAGCACAAAGAAATAAATAAGAAATGCTGGGACCAGTCCTGCTGTGGGGATTTATACGCCCAGCTGTCAGTCTGCAAGTAAACCTTCTTCCTAGCACAGAGATCCTGACACCAGCTACTGTCCCCTCTCCCCACAGCGCAGGATGGAGATCACAGCTTGCAGGAGAGCAATAGGGACATCACAGCATCTTGCAGGAAAGTCATTATTTCTTGTCACATCTGATGCAGAGGCCAAGTGAGTGTCCACAGCACAGACAAGTGAACACTGGGCAAAGCTTAGCAAAGACAGGAAGGAGACAGCAGGGCTTATTGCTACTGGAAGCTGTGGGTGTCCAAAGCGTAGCAAGATTTGCAAAGGGGTCAAGCATCTCTGTAGGCAGCGAGACTGTGCAGAAGTTACCACTGATTACAGTTGCAGCAGGGTAGAAAACCCCAGGGCTCAGAGCTTAAGCCACTTTCTAAGAGAAAAGAGCAGAACTAGCTGGAAAGGGAAATGACTCCACACCAGCTTACTTCCACTGTCCTTGCAGCAGCCAGCCCTGGCTACTGAAAGGACACTGATGGCACAGAAGTGGGTGGATTCAGGCCACATCCTACCTAGCAGGTTGAGAGTTCCTCGGAAAGCCCAAATGGTACAACTGAGCTAATTCAGAAAGAAGTTGTCTGGCTAACGCCAAGGTCAGTCTGAACAACTCCTTCCACTCTCTCTTCCACTTTTGTTGTGTAGTGAGGCAGGAAGCTGAAAACTCCCTGGCCAATTTTGGGATCTCAGGCAGAGGTTGGTGAGTGGCAACCACCCTGGTTCTGAGTAACAGATGAGCGTGTTAGCACCAAGCCCCCCTGCACTCAGTTCCCTCTGAGACTCCTAATGGCACATGATGACAGAATTTCCTTGCTCTTTATTTCAGAGTTCAGGGAAAATTCCTGCCACCAGCGCTGAGTTAAATAAAAAGTTGGTAAATTCAGGAGGAAATGCAGCTTCACACAGCAAGGCGCTAACCTTTGGAATTGCTTTGAGAGTTGGTTAAGTCAAATATGATAACTGGCTTGGAAATATCCTGATGGTTTTATGACCTTTAACAATGTCTGTACTTTGGTACCCAGACAAGGGTCACCAGTCTGCTGCAAGACATGACCAGATCCCCTTAGAGAGATAAAGAAAGAATTCTCTTCCTGTCTTTCCCTGTCCTGTTGCAATTGCCATTGCTCAGTTTCTGTAAAGCACCAGAATTACCCCAGGCCAGAGCAGCATCGCTGGAGCACACCACAAGGCCTGTTCTCCCGAACCCCGCTTTGGTATGAGAATGATCTCTGTGTTACGGCACTTCTGGAGGTGCTGAGGTCATACATGCTTTGGAAACTTTGCCTCCAAGACAAAGAAGTGCAGGGTTGTTACTCAGGGGAAAGAAGTACCCCATCTGTGTCCTCAGGAGCAGATGGCAGGGTTTGAGCCCCATGCTCATATTCTCCCAGGTGTTCCTGAAGAGACCTGAGATGTTTGGGTCTCTCTGTGACCTGCTGGTAAGTGAGGGAATGTGGATGTGTCTCCTCCCCTGCCAAGATGAAAACAGTCTCTTTCACTTTTCTTATTTCACTTTTACTGTCCCCAGCCCCAATGCAGGGCTGTGAAGGTTGGGCGGTGGCTCTAAGAGGGTGTTATTTCACAGTGACCTTCCCATGGCCATTGCTGAATGGGCTCCAGGTAAGGAGAGGCCCTGCTGAGGGCAGTCGGGCTCTTGTCCTTGTTCTGCTGAGACCTTTCTCTTCCCAGGTGTTAACTGGTGCTTTATGGGACTGGGGCCCAAACCTCCTTTGAGGCCAAGGAGCCACAGGGACAGGCTTCAGCCACTACCTGCCCATGATATCAGGTCCCCCTGGTGCTCAGTTCACTGGAGCCTTCTCCCATTAGCAGGTCACTGCGAGCTGTGGATTATACCCTGGCAACAGGGACACTGCAACATGCAAGCCCCGAAACTGCAGCGCCTGCTCCACTACACAGCAAAATAGGTCGTGCATCAGCAAATGAAAAAGGACAGATGGTGTCTGCTAATACAGCTTAGTTTATGGCCTGCAGGATTAACTCACTAGTTGTCATGTCTGCAGAAAATAGGAAATGGGTGGTTTGGGTGGAGGAAACGTGTGGTGTGCCCAGCCCTACCTGTGTTTGTAGGATGCACCAGCTGGAAAGGATATCAGAGATGCTGTGAGGTTTTGAGATGCTGCTGAAGGGCTGACAGTGTCTCTTTTTGGGTCTGGGCACTAGAGCTAGTGCCTTGTACCAAGCCTTCCTGTCCGGCTCTGGTTCCCACACTCTCCAGTAGAGACAGGCACACTATTTGTGGTCAACACGCCAACAATGGCACTGCAGGAGAAGCCCACAGCTTCCTGTCCTGCACCAGCTGCAGGACAGCCTCCAGTTCAGCCTTTTGAACTCCTAAGCACCCACGTGTCTGCAGCAGTGAGACAGAAAGCTGAGGCAGAAGCCTCAGGTCTTTTCAATGCCTTCTCTGTGACACACTGTTCTCCTTTCCTGGAAACCAGGCCAGTGCCTCACTCTCCTTGCAGAAATCAAGCCCCGTGCCATTGCTCCAGCTTCTCTGCATCTGCTGTCTTGAGGGCAGAAAAAGCCCTTCCTCAGTCCTCCACAAATGGTCCTCCTAAAGATTTCACCTTGATCCTTGCTGCCTCTGCTGCAGCCAGGTTTGCTCACATCCTGCAAAATGCTGAGCACCCCGAAAAACAAATGCCATCAGGGAATGAGAAGAGAGGAGAGCCTCCAAAGCCAGTGCTAGGTTCCTGCCCTGTCACGCCATCTCCATGCCTCTTGCTGGTGGCACCTGGCTCTCCCCACTGAGTAGCCTGGCTACCGCCGTCCCAGCACAGTGTGCCCCGGACAGGCAGCTGCCTGCTGCTATTGGAGGTGTTTGTCACCCCCACCTTCTCCTAGCCACAGCCAGCTGTCACAGGCACTGGGGTTTCCTCCAGTGACTAATTTGCCTGTGTTTATGCCAACGCCAAACATAATTGTCTGTTTAACAACTTGGGTGAGGAGGGAGTCTGGCTCCTTCCTTGTACTGTCAGGATCAGAGCAGCAGTTTCCTGATGGCAGCACCCTACTGTGCTAAACCTTCTCAGTTATAAATCCCCTGTCATTAAGGATAGCAGGTCACCAGTAAGAGTGAATCGAGAGTGGGGATCATTGTTACTTCTATCCCCAAAGCTGTACAGCGAGTGTGCAGGACAACAGGTGTATAAAGAAATCAGAACAGCCTGTGCTTTTATTACAAAAGGAAATGCTTCTTTTGTAGAGGGCAAAAGCATATCAGATTGCTATTATTAGTAATTGCTTAACGCTCCCTACCTTCACGTCATTGCTGAAGTAGACGGTAGTTGCCTCCACGTCCCTGTTCAGGGTCTCCTTTCAATGCACGTGTGTCAGTGACGGGGCCAAGCCCATGGCCTTCCTGGCTGCCTGAGCCCTGAAGGAGACAGGATGGTGAGCTACGTGGGCACACAAGCCTCCAGCTTCTTCCCCCTCAAAATCTCCCCACCTCCCACCTCTTTTATCAGCTGCTGACAAGACTTGCCATGTGTGTAGGCGGCTCCCAAGCTTACAAGATGATTCCCCGCTCCCCCCACCTCCATCCATGAGCACGTTCAGGATTTCGAGGAGGGGGAGCGCAGCGTTCCTCCGTCTGCAGGCCTGTTCTGCAAGGGATGCGCGATGCTTTCAGAGAGCTCCATGTGGTAACTCTCTCCCAGGATTTCACATGACAGCATCTTCCCCGGAAAGTCACAGCAGGGAGTGGAAGATTGTTGTGCTGTGCATGTGGGTGTTAGGAGGGAGCAGAGTGGGATGGGGAGATGGAGGCGAGAGGAGGTGTAACCGCAGAGTAAACCAGAACAATCCTCTTGGAAGAGCCCTGCATTTCTGATCCCAGGGCTCCCATCTCCTGCCTTTTGCTCTTCATCTAAAAGAATGTCAATCCTTGCTAAGTCCAGCAGAGAAAAAGGGAGGCGAGCAGAATCATCTCTTCCTTCCCTGACCACATCTCAGAGGCAAACAGAACATGAACTAACTAGATCAACCCAGAAAGTGTGTGTGGATTTGCACACTGGGGAGAGCCCTCCCCAGCCACTGGTGTCTTCCTGGAGAGACATAAACAGCCGTTAATGACATCTCCATCTGAGAAATTATCAGAGTGCATGTCATTAAAAACCAGTGCTTCCCCAGGGCCCTGGCAGAAAATGACCCCAATGAGCCTCAGTTCTTGAACACACAGCTGCTACCTTGTGAATGCAAAGCATCCCTTACCACAGATCTCAAAACACTCAAGATTTAGCTTTGCTGAACCCCTCTGACAGACCAAGACACAGGAGGAATTAAGGAAGGTCCACATGCTCCTGGCATGACTCTTCTGGGCAGGGAGCTGGGAGGAGACCCCCACCGCACTTCTGAGAGGTTTAAAACTATCTTTGTGCTACTTAGGTCTGTCTGTCCCTCTCACCTTCATCTAAATGCTGTGACTACAGCAACCTCTCAGGTTTGTCTGCAAGGTGGCACAGTACCGGGCTGTGCCCGTGGTGGGTCCTTGGGAGACAGACCCTTAAAACTCTCATCTGCATTTCAGCACTGGCGAATCCTGATGCATCTGGACCCCTTTAACAGTCCTGGCTGTCCCACCTGAGCAGGGCCAAAGGTCTCAACCTGCCCAGCGAGACCAGAGCTGAGTCATTCCAGAGTGTCCCTATCCAGCAACAAGGAAAATTCTTGGTGTAAAGCTGTTCCCCTCCTTCCCCCATTTCATCATGTCTGTGGCTGTTTCGGAAAGCAGCATCATGAGCTGGATTTTCTCTAAACTCCATCTGCTCTGAAACACAGCCTGTGACCCATCCCTGCCTGGGTAAAGAGGGAGAAACACTGAGGACACCCATGTACTTCTAGAGAAAACAGTCTGTTCCACGGAAGGGTTCACACCTCAGTGCCAGAATGACCTGGAGGTTTCAGGCAGATTGAATCTTCATGTGTCCCAAAATAGCTATTTCAATGTCCCCCTGAGTCCTGCAGGCCAGGGACAAGAGCAACGGGCAGTTATTTACCATACCTGTGCTATCTGGGTAACCAGGGAAGGGGGGACGGGCAAGGGGGATGTGTTAGGAGCTGGAGTTTCTATTTTATCGGCTGCAAACCAAAGCCAGCGCGCCTGCCTGCCAGGGCCCCACCGCAGCAATATTCCTGTCCACAGCACACCCCAGTCCCTCCATGCAAATACTCCCAGTCTGAGAGCTAAGTTTCACAATCCCTTCCCGGCAGCCAGCCTCTGCTTTCACTCTCTGAATTACAAAGGGGAGTTTTCATTACATCACCAGGGGCTCTTCCTCCTTCAAGTCAGTGACAGAGCTATCACTCTGCTTTGTGGGGGTTTTTGGGGTGTGGGTGGCCAGGGTATTTCTCTGCAAAGTGGCCCTGTGCCTCCCAAAGCCAAGTTCAGCCCAGCCTCCCCAGCTGCTCCATCCAGGCTGGGAATGGCACCGGGCAGTGTGGGTTGGCTCCAGCTGGTGCCTGGACAAAGCATGCCCCACACTGGTGCTGGAAGCCTTCCTGGGCGACACAAGCATTTTCAGGCGGTTTTAAAAGTCGCCTGTGCCAAATCCTGCCCTGATTTAAGCAGCGGGGTCGGAAGTCAGCAGTCTTCCAGCTTTCTGCCAGCGTAAGCAAGAGCAAATTTGCCTTTCAGAGCTGGGATTTGCGAAGCTGTTTGCTGAAGCGTTTGAATTCTCCCCCTTTCCAGGTTTGTTTTTTTTTTTTTTTTTTTTTTTTTTTTTTTTTTTTTTTTTTTTTTTTTTTTTTTTTTTTTTTTTTTCCTTTTCGCTTTTGTTTATCTTTTCAAATATGCCTCAGTTGGTCAGACTGGTGATGGTTTCCCTGCAGCTCTGGGGAGGGGCTGAGCTGATCTCACTCCCAATCCGGTGACTTCCCAACCAGCCTCTTTCCTCCCCTCCCTAGCAGCCCACTTCCATGCCCTCTCCTTCCCAGTCCCAGGTCCTGGCTGGGTTGTTGGTTTGGTTTTTTTTCAGTTTGAATCAAAACAAACTACTGGGTTCAAACTGCTCCCTAGTCAGGAACGTGCTGAGGTGGAGCCTCTGCTTCTGGCAATGGCTACGGAAACTCACCACGGAGAAACACCTCAGCCACGGAAAACTTGTTTTCAAGTAGATGGTATGTCTGGACCACGGCAAGGTCAGGGCAGTTAGAAGTCTGTCTCTGAGCTCCATAAAAGCACTGAATTCCCTTAAACATAGAAAGACTGGCAAGAGGTCTGTGCAGCTCGGGAGCAGGGAAGACAGCTCTGAAGTCAGCGTGAGCCCCTCGGATTTACCCTGGCCTCCCCCAGCTCTGTTTGTATCATGATTCCTCATATAAGGGAATGAAGAGTCATTTCTGCCCCATCAGCACGTTGCGAGCTGATGCCTTTCCCAGAGACTCCAGATGGTTTTGCTCTGTCTCTCTGTTTGTGTCTGCACTACTGGTAATTCAGGCCTGTCTCACATTAGCTTTGGAGATGAAACCTTCCCACAATTAGTTACAGTCTGTGCTCTTGCGCTGCAAAGGACGTAGGGCTGAGCTGTCAGAGCGCTGTCTGGGAGATCCGTCCCACACACAAGTCCTGTTCAGGTTTCTCTATTTCAGTCAGGAGTGTGATTTTTCTAGTGAAATCATCAAACCAAGACGGCCTCTGCTACAGATGGGTAGCGACAGCCATTTAAAGATGCCTCATACCTGGCCCATCTCAGACAGGAACAGCTAATTTCAGGATAATCTTGCTTTACACCAGTACAACATCTCTCCTTTCTTCCTCTGGCCTTCCTTTCCCACTAGCGAAATGGAGAGAGGATCCTTTCACGTATCAGTGCATTCCAGGAGCTCCACATCAGAAGTGTCAGAGAAATGCTAAGCATCTTCATGCTTGCTCACAACCTGCCAGCCTGCCAGGGACTGGAGCTCAGCAACTCACACTGCTCAGGGGCAACGCGCTCCACAGACACCCTTGTAGCATCCATGCCTCTCCCGGGGCAGAACTGTTTGGCTCCCTTGCTAAATTCGCTCGCTAGTAACAGGGTTCATGATCCAGGGGGGAATTTAACACTCTGAGGCCAATCCTACATGCAGTCCAAAACTTCCAGATGGGCCAAAGCCATGTGTATTCTGGCAGGAAAAAAAAATGCCGGAGCACAGCAGAGGTGAGGGGGAGCTGACAAATGTCTGGGGATCATAAGCTCTAGGGAAGGAGTTGGGTGCAGCAGGCATCTCGGGATAAGCACTAAGTGAGGGGTGTATGGCAGGCACAGAATTAATGAAGAGAAGTGCAAGAAGGTAACAGGAGAGCTGAAGGGAGGAGGAGGCTTCATTTGTGTGTTCTTATGCAGGGGATTTACTCCTTCTCTGCCTTCATTCACTCATCCATCAAATGGGGAAGCATCATCATTATCTCTGCTGTACAGACAGGCGTGGGGGCTTTGCCTACGGCAAGTCAGGCAGTGCAAGCAGCGAAACCCAGGTGCTTTTGACTGTCAAGCCTGGGTTCGGTTCGCTAAACCTTGTTCTCCACCCCAGAGGCACTGAACGGGGCCCTCTGCAGCTGGAAGGAGCCTGGTAATAACTATGCAAATAGGCTTTGCTGAGAGAAATTATTTCAGGAATGGCAATAGCTGGAAGTCAGTGGTGAAGCCACAGTTGTCACATGAATAACTACAGTCTGCCTGGTCAGAAGCTGACAGTCTACAGGGAAAGCAGCCCCTTCTGCGCTGATTTAACATGCACTTCATAGGCACAGCAGATCTTTCTGCTTCGCCTCCCCTGGATAATAAGAGGCAGCGTCTTTCCCGTTAGCTTATCTGCCTTTGAATCGGAGACGAGGTTGGCAGACCCCCGTGGGCACGGGGGAACCCTGGTAGGAAACAGAGGCTTTTAAGTTTCTGCATGACTGCAGTAAGAATGTGGGTTGTAGTTTCAGTGCCTCTGTATGATAGAGGCTAAACCCTGCGCTTGGGGAAAGAAATGGGTGAGTAATGTCCACATGATTCTTCACAAATATTATAACGGAGGGACAAGATGCCCCAGCAGGATGAATGAATTTAGAGGGGATTCCTGTGGTTATAGCTCACACACACTCCACGTTAAAAAGCAAACTGCCCAGGGGAACAGGCCTCCACCCATGCCCAGGGGCGTGCCCCTTCAAAACCCACCATTAACGGTTGGACTTGATGATCTTAAAAGGTCTTTTCCAACCTAAACGATTCTACGATTCTATCATTAGCACCAGGCCCCTCCATAACCTACCATTAGTGCCAGGCCTGGGGGCAGGGAAAGCCTCTGGCTTGGTGAGGCCACCAGGCCGCGATGGCCCACAGCGATGCTCCGGGCAAGCCCCGTGGCCCTCTCAGTGCCAAGGGTGGGGGGCGGGGGGGAGCC